ATAGGGACAACCACATGCGTTGTACGTTTGCATACTGCTCACAATGTGATTCATAACAAAAATGCAAGCACATATCACTAAGGACACTTGCCAACCTTGCTTCAACAGTTCTTGCTATTTGCTCGCAATTAATTAAGGTCAAATGAACTACAGTTGGTTATGTGATTATACACTCCCCATTACTACAAAAGCAGTACAGCAGCTGTGAAGAGCATGGTGTGTGGCGCTCGAGTGAATGTATACCCTGTGGTTCCTGCTTTTACACAAGCCAAGCATCGGGCACGTTTCTCAGAGTGGTGGTGAGTTTTGAGGAGGCAAATAGAAGACTAGGAGTAAACACAGGTATACGAGAACTGAAACCAACAGGCAGACGCCCGCTCAGTGTATTTGTGAACGTGCCGGTGTGCCATTAAAACGTGCCAAGACACGCCCACCTACGCTGATTGGTCATGGTAAGTGCTGGGGCGCATCAAAGAGCTGATGTGGCAAAGCGAAACTTTGAGGAAGTCAGTGCTACTGGAACAATGCATAAAGACGCCACCACGCGATGACTCAATTTTCTTTCTCACTCAGTTGGAGTCGGGGGCAGGCTGACATCGACGGTTATCATTACCACTCCGTGTTTTTGGAGTTTATTCCGGTTGAAATTCGGCGTTTGTCAAAGCTTGTTTGTCGCCAATGTCTCATTCTACGAAATTCCGAGTCGAGTTTTGCATTTCCAGTTGCTGCAGTGTAATCTCATGACTTTGGTTTCTAACACATATCAGTTGCGATGTTGCTGATAATCGTGTTTCTCTATACTTTCATTTACTTTCACCTCCCGTTAGTTTACCCTGTTTACAAAGCTATTGATTAGCACTGCCGTGAAATAGTGCACTCGCCAAAGTGTACTTTTTTTCGGGGGGGGGGGGGGGGGGCAAGGTCCGTACCATTTCTCTCAGTTTTCTTCATTATCCTAACGAAAAAAAAAGAGATTTATCACTATCATTATTCTTAATACTTTGAAATCTTAGATGAAATTGTATTTGAACACGAAAACAAAGAACGCACCAAGCGCCTATTTTGAATGGCTGGATGGTTTCAAAGCACAGACACATCATACACAATAGCACATGCAAACCTGAATGCGTAACCCTCAAGTTTGTTCGTGTTACAACCTTAACCTTTGTAGCAATAGACGTAAGCCATCTTTCAACCTTCTTGAAATATACGCAAGCATACTTTACAAGGTTTCTGCGCTGATAGGGGTGCGCTCTTTTCGGGTGGATGATTTTCAGCTTAGAAAAGGCTTTTTTTTTAATAAGAGTTGATCGGACAACCGAAATTGTCCAAATTTTCAATGGTGATTGTCTATCAGATTTCTTTCAAATTTTTTCGTGAGCAAGGAGGCCTAGTTACAGTAAACATTCCGGTGTCTCTTCCGCTGTAGCGCGACATCACAACTAACTCGGGTTCTGAAGAGGTAAAACATTCTGCGAAGTAGGAAGAGAAACGTACGAAATTCGTAAACAATAAACAGGTATATGCTGAATATTGTAACAAATAAGCTGCCGCATTGACCGGTAGCAACAAAAGGCGGAGACGATGCTTGTTGCGAGAGAGATTTTAGCATACGAACGATTAAACTGAATAATGGTTACAGGGCCAGTGGCAGGCGCCACCCTAATGCACATCACTTTATAAAAAAATGATCACGATCACGTCAGCGCGCTCAACACGCTCCAAAGTTCTGAAAGGTTTGTGATGAAATTGGCTAAGAAAACTGAAACGCTGTAGATGACAAGCAGTGATCCCAAGTTCACGAGGACTGACTTGAAGTGTTATGTGAACTAGCTCCACTGACTGTTAAGTGTTAATTTATAAAACACAGGTACGCTCGCCGCACTTTAGGGAAAGCCTTTTCACGCAATCTGTGCCACCATTTAAGACAAGCCTCACCTTTTTGCTGTCATTCAAACCTGCAAAGAAAGCAAAGCTTCAGCTTGAGTTTGAACCGGCCCACCAAAAGACGAGTCGCCGCGAACAGACTTCCCGCAGCAGTTTTCCCCTCACCTCTAATTCGTAATGTATGAATGCAGGACCAGTTTGTGCGTGTGCATGCTGGTGGTTCCGTGGTTTGCAGCAGGCCGCGCAAAGCGCCACACGGTGGTGGGAGACCCGAGATCCATTCTCGTCTTCAGCACCACTCGGCCCCCACCCATATCGAAGTCTCGGGGATTGCGAGGAGTACGTAGCAGGTCCTTCCTCGGGGAGGGTCGTGGCAGGTGCGGCTTCAGGCAGCGGCAGCCACTCCATTAGGCCCATTGTCTCGTCGGGCGGCCGAGCAAAGAGATGAGCGCACGCGGTCGCTGGCGGTCCCCTTTGAAGCGCGAGCGGCGGCTCCCTTTGATCGACGCCGCCGCCTTTGAAGTACGCCGCCGCCACCGGCCTTGGGCGCCCTGCACATCCCAGCGACGCGAGCGCTCCTTTTTCTCGCCGCAGCGAGATCCCGCTACGCATCTTGGTCGGCATTCTGCGTCCGCATGTGCCGTGGGTGCCGAGCGACTCATGCGCACATCGAAAGAACAGACTGGATTCGAACATGTGCCTTTGGTCCTGAGGCACCAATATCTGTCCGTTATAACGAATTTATGTAATTTTAATCTATGCTATGAAAAGCAAGCCAGAAATAGACCGCAATTTCTCGTGAGCGCCCACTAAGCACCTGCTGCGAACTTATATTGCAAAACAAGGCGCAAGAAGAAAGCAACTTGCCAGGTTACTTTCCCACACTTAGAGTGAGCACAACAATGACTTCTATGCACACATTTTAATATTTCTTGTCGATTGCAAATCTTCACCGGCATACACTGCGCTCCTTTAAGAAGTAGCAAACAAAAAAATCGCTGAAAGTTTAGCAGTACGTGCAATAAGGGTCAAAGAACTTCCGCGCCTTTACGTCCTAAGGAAAAAGTCGACACCAGTATGTGCAGCGAGGCGGTCAGCGAAAGGTGGTGACGTTGTTCCACTTCGCTGTCATCCCTCGGTATGCTTCTAAGTTGCGACCTGCGCGCCGCCGCTGTTTTGACTGCGGGCACCCAGTCACCGCGCTGAAGGGCATGCACTTACCGCCGGCTAATTAGCAGTTTCGCGAGATATCATCGGAGCCGGCGCTGTTCCGTCGTCACAGGAGCTCCTCCTCTCCCTCTCTCTTCGTCTCTCATGTTCACTTCGTGCGGCGAAAGCAACTGCGCTCGCGTGTCACACACTACCCGCGTCCGTGTGCTGCGTGTTTACATACCTTCAAGCGTGCCGCCGCTTTGAACCCCGCCGCGATTAAAGGCCTGGCAGAATACGCCGCGTAAACACGGGGTCGCCTCCCAAACGATGGGCGTCGCGTGCGGGCGCAGGCAACGCGATTGAGGCGCGCATAGACGGAAACGCAATTTCTTCGAAAGTTGACCTCACCTCAAAATGATTCTGGGGAGCCTCATACCAGAAACCTGCCTGCCTTCTCTCTTGTTTTTCTTGTCCTCTTACCAGAAGTGCCTAATACTGAGCGGGACAATTTTCGCAGTGGTATCAAAGCGCGTCGCTTTAGCAACCGCAGCCAACATGTGTGAGTGCCGCTCTAAATGGCACACAAATGGCACAAAGTACTCACCACGAATACCCACAGCTGCCGTTTGGTGCAGCACAGAGAAATGAAATACCTACACTCTGTACTAATGGACATTCGTTGCATGTATTTCTGTCTGGCACCCACGTGAGTGTGAACAAATTCATTGAGCTCCTGCAATACAGGCTGGGTTCCCGCCTAGGGGTCGATCGAGAAATTGTGCCTCTTCGCAGCTTCCTTGGTTTTGTTGCAGCAGCCAGAGTTGGTGGGCTAGTCCCGAGCTGAGCAGTGCGCACTCTGCGTCAGTTTATTACGGGGCTTTTAATTATAAACGTGATAATTGCAAGAAATAAAGAAATTTGACTTTTAGCTGATATTTAGCTTGGGAATATACCTTATTTTCTCACACCTTGACATAGCTGTGAGCAAGAAAGTAACTAATGAGATGCGATATTCAATTGATTCACGGCGATTTACATGCTTCCACAGCAGGCCTGTATAATTCACGGACTGTCAGCGAGAACAGGCGACGCTGTCTGTTGTGCCGCATGCGAACAGGTTCCGCATACACCCGGGCTTCAGTCATTCAATACTGGAGATGCACTTCCCCACTGTGTACCTTCTGCAGTGACATCGGTGACATCGAACATTTTATCAGCATCTGACCCCACGCTAATAACGAAAGATCTTACAATTAGCAAAGTGTTTCTCATGGGTTACGCACATTTGAAGATGTCATTTGTTCTAAAGGCCCGCCACAATGACAAGGAGTGTGCAACAAATTCCTATGGTCTTCCTGCGAGGCGCTATGCTGTTCAGGCAGTGCAACTTAGTATAGGCAGAAGAGATGTCGGGTCTGCAGGCCAGGCTAAGCTCACCTTCTGCAACACCACAACCGCCATCCGGGAAGCCTAGTGTAACCGCAATGCCCTCCCCCCCCCTCCGCCCACCCCACTTGTTCCCATTTGTTAACTCGCAAAGTAACTATGCTTCGCAACTAATATAAAAATGACAATAGAGCAATGAAGTGAATATCATAAGCACGTTTCTTCTGTCCTCGGTTATTTGGGCGGCAAAGCTTTTGCGAAGAAAGCATGAACAGCTCTCGGCCGTCAAAAACGTGCGTGGTCATATTCCTGCAGTTTAGGCAGATGTCTGACAAAATAAAACTATAAGGCACAGGCACACCAGCCCCCCCTCCCCCCCCCCCCCCCTCTTCAGCTTATGTGAAGCGCCATGTAGAATACAATCCCGTAGCTCGGCCACAGTGGATGAAGATTAGATTCAAAATTCACCAGATGGCACTGAGCGCTTTGTGCGGCAACTACATGCAAAATTGCATATTCCTTGCATTTAGATTTAAATTTTTAAGAGCTGATTCAACTACGAAAGGTGTACTTACCCTGCGGGCGACCCATCATTGCAGACGGCCGTGCCATTGCCTAGTAGGACCTTGCGTAGCCTGGCACGTTGATCGCGTCCATGACCTCCATGACAGGCAAGGTTCAGACCTTGGGGACGTTGAGAGCGGTCGTTGTTGCCGCTTTCGGAACCTGAAGGCCACGGTGGCCGTGCAGCACCATGTCCCGTCACGCTCAACCACACCAGCAGCACCAGAAGCAGGGACGGACGCAGACACGCGTTCATTTCGGCGAAGAAGCCCCAACCTACGAATAACGAAGTCATTTGTTCAGTATACGCAATGAAAGAAATGTGCATTCTCATTTTCACGTATCACATATGCGTCAGGACTAACCATCGCGATGCAGCCATAGCACCGCCTACCAAAAACGTGGCGGGAAACTCCATGCGCTCGCAGTCATTGCCGAGTGCGATGACAAAGGATGACACCGTGGTCCGGGCGTGCGGGAAGGTAATTCGAAGCAGCGAAAGGTGAAGAAAGATTAGGACAGCTTCCATGAAGAAACGGTCTTTAGTCTGTCGCGTTCATTACAATAGACATAATCTTCTTCTGATACTTACCTATAATTGCTTGCCACAAATTTTCGATCCCCTGGCAGATCATTTAGCATTACCCTTCTCCTGCGCTCATTCATATTGAACCACACTTGGATGCTTTCTCGGTCAAGTAATTTAATTTTGTTTACAATTCGTCTTCGTAATTCCGGAAGAGTATGATGTTGTCCGAAAGTTGTAATTGACTGGGAGATACGCAGTTACTCGTTATTCCCGTTTTTTCCAAATCTAATCGTTTCAATTATTTTTCTGTAGAAGCAGAGAATTAAAATCACGAGATCAAAGCTTCGTGCAGGACCTTTCTCAATGACAACAGTCCGACATATTTCCAATAACAGCAGAGTAACAATGGGATTTCTGTATATACGGAATATCTATAGAAACAGCTTACTGATTGCACTTATAGCGTATCTTATCACTTTCTCTGCCATCAAGTTTATCTGGTATTTTTAGATTCATACTGTAACGCTCAGAACAGAAGCATTGGATAATAACAGCGACTAAAGTGACAAGCACTGAAGGAAAAAGAAGGTAAAGGAAATACTAGGCACTCCAAACATTGTTTAGGATTAGGATTAGGATTAAGATGTTTTAAGCAGCTAGCGGATGTAGCCTTGCATACTTTGCATGCAATTGCCCCCCCCCTCCCCGGTTTTATTTTAATGTAATGGCCTTTCGTTTTTTTTTAAATAAGCACGGGTAGATGTGAACAACGTTATGGGTGCATAACATGTGTTCGCCTCTTTTCTGACTGGCACGCTTAATGCTTAACGACTAATGTCTAATTGTATTAGTGGGCAAGTACAGTTTTCTTTTTTGGGTATTTTTAGTGAAACAATGAACCAAGTTTAGCTTTAACGGCCGGTAACAAAAGCATAGTAAATGATTCCACGTAGTTATCGCTGTGCATGGGATTCTCTTATCGCACACAAACCTGCTAGTAATAGTTGGCTTTCACTAGATTTTAGCGAGAGCTTTTTTATTGTGCGTGCTATTAGCGTCTGTTGTTTTCTGTGGTGATATTATATAGCATTTAAGGTAACATTGCTACTCAAGGCACACATCAACATTCAAAAGGTTGTAATTATTTGTTCAACATGCACAAAAGATGAACGGTGGTAGGATGGTGCTTATCTGTATATCCTTTATTATGTGGCTGTCTACTTATGCGCTGTCATTAGCCCTTAATTGACACCAACAAGCCGAAACAATATTAAAAAAAGAGTAGGTTTGGGACACATACCAACACCACTTCCTTTCATGGGTACTAGGGCTAGTCAAGCTATCATAATACCACTTTATTACCCCTAGTGTACAACTACACCAGCCTACAAGTGACAAAACTTATTCAAAATTTAGTAATACTTTAGATAAAAGGTGAAAACGCGAGCTCGATCAAATAAACAAACACGAGAAACATTATTTCTGAATGGGGTATGTGTTGAAAATTTCTACTTTGTCATTAATTCTATCATATTGTTACGTTTAAAAGAGACTGGTGGAGGATGAAAGGAGCCGTTTATTATGTCGTGAAAGGCAGCTCAGAAGCGGCCGACTGATGATGATCCTCCTGATCCTCTTCTTCTCTTCTCACCGTGGGCGACAAGTGCGTTCAGTGTATACGCTTCTTTGTCTTTATGCATGTGCGCAACATTCCTCTCCGCGCAGGCGAAGGCAGCTTGACGAGTCAGTCGAGTTGTCGTGGTGTGTACAGTTTCAGCCAGACAACATGAACCACTTGAGTTTTGGCAGCTCATCGACCACTCACCGTGAGACGAGCTATTACATAGTTGACCTCTGTAAGTCTGTCAACAATGACAAAAGGTCCATCGTAAGTGGCCAAAAACTTTTGGCATAACCCGCGCTTGCGCATCACTGTCCACAACCACATCAGATCCCCACGGTGATAAATCACTGGTCGATGTCGAATGTCATAGCGTGCCTTCGCTTTGTCTTGCGATGCTAATGTGTGTAGTCGAGCTATGTGACGCGCCTCTTCGGCGAGACAGAGAGTCTCGGTGACAGTGACGTTATTGTGATCACAGAAGAGTAATACTGTGTCGATTGTGTGCCAGGGCGAACGGGCATAAAGCAAAAAGAAAGGGCTATAACTTGTAATCTCACGCTTCGCGGTGTTAAACGCGTAAGTAATGAACGGGAGTACGTCATCCCAGTTCTTGTGGTCGCACGAGACATACATAGACAACTTGTTGATAATGGTGCGGATGGTACGCTCTGTCAGCCCATTAGTTTGGGGGTGGTATGGTGTCGAGTGACGCAAGTGGGATTTACATAAACGGAGTAGCTCCTTTTCGACATCCGCAGTGAATTGTCGTCCATGATCGCTGATAAATCAGGCGAGGTTGGCCGTTTCGGAGTAGCTCCTCCACGACATCCGCAGTGAATTGTCGTGCATGATTGCTGATAATCAGGCGAGGTTGGCCGTTTCGGAGGATGACGTACTGTAACAAAAACGATGAAACTTAACTGGCAGTAGCAGAGGGGACGGCTGCCGTCTCGCAGTAGCGTGTGTGGTAGTCAGCGCAAACAATTACCCATCGGTTGCCCTTAGCCGATTTGGGAAGGGGCGCAGAAAGTCAATCCCCACTTGTTCGAAAGGTGCACTTGGAGTAGGCATCGGCTGTATAAGATCAGCTGGACCAGTTGATGGACGTTTGTGACGCTGACATTGCATGCAGCTTGCCACATAACTCTCAATGGACTTCTGCATACCAGGCCAATAAAAGCGCTCTTTAGTCCTGTGAAGCGTCCGCGCCAAACCTAAATGTCCAGATGAAGGGTCGTCGTGCATGACACTCATAATAACTGTTCGCAGGCCCTCCGGGACCACTAGAAGGAAACGTGCGCCACTGCTGGAGAGGTTCCTTTTGAACAACAGTCCAATACGCACACAGAAACGACGTGCAATAGTGGAAGCGGATGCAGCGGCGAATAGTGGTGCTAGTTTAACGTCCTTCCACTGTTCTGCTCTGAAACTGGGGTAGTCCGGGAACGTAGGCGACACAGACGCTGCAAGCTGGTCAAGGTCCCCGGATTCACAGTACGTTGTGCTAAGTGGCATACATGAAAGACAGTCCGCGTCAGCATGTGGACGACCACTCTTGTAAGCGATGGTAAAACTGTATTCTTGTAGCTGGAGTGCCCAGCGCGCAAGGCGGCCACAAGGGTCACGAAGGTTGACAAGCCAACACAACGAGTGATGGTCGGTTACGACTGTGAGTGGGCGTTCGTACAGGTAAGACCTAAACCAATATTACCACCAGGCAAATATTACCGCCAGGCATTCTTGTTCTGTAACAGTGTAGTTTTGTTCCGGCCTGCTTATGGAGCGACTTGCGTATGCGATGACGTGTTCGCGGTCACCGTAACGTTGTACTAAGACGGCTGCAATACCTATGCCGCTAGCATCCGTATGAAGCTCTGTCGAAGCAGAAGGACTGAAGTGCTGAAGGACGGGTTGTGACCTCAGCAAAAGCTTCAATTGACGGAATGAAGAATCGCACTCCGGTATCCACTCAAAGAATTGTCCTTTCGTAAGAGGCACGTCAGAGGATACGCAACGTCGGCAAACTTAGGTGAAATAAATCGGCGGAAATAAGAATAAAGCCCCAGAAAACTACGAAGCTCTTTGACGGAACGCGGCGCATTGAACGCCTCAACTGCTGCTGTCTTCTGGGGGTCAGGGCGGATGCCATCCTTGACAACGAGATGCTCGAGCACAAGCGTCTGGTGGTCTCCGAAGTGGCCTTTCTTCGAGTTTGAAAACTAGGCCAGCGTTGCGGATGCAGCTCAAAACAGTATCCAGACGAGTGTTGTGTTCACTGAACGTGCGGCCAAAGATGACGACGTCGTCGAAGTAGCACATGCAGATGTTCCACTGCAAGTCACGCACAATGGTGTTCATAAACCTCTCGAACGTTGCCGGTGCATTGCACAGTCCAAATGACATCACGTTGAATTCAAATAGCACATCAGGGGTTACAAAGGCAGTCTTTTCCTTGTCCTCTGGGTGCATCGGATTGTGCCAATAACCGGATCGTAAGTCTACGGAGGAAAAATAAGAGGCTGAACGTAAGCAGTTTATTGCGTCCTCTATACGGGGCAGCGGGTATACGTCCTATTTAGTCACGGCATTTAGTCGGCGATAGTCGATGCAAAATCTCCAAAATCCATCTTTCTTCTTAACAAGGATTACCGGTGCTGCCCACGGACTGACTGACTCTTGTACCACTCCCTTTTGCTCCCTTTCGCATCATTTCCTGCACTTGGTCGTTGATAATTTGTCTTTCTGACGGGGAAACACGATATGGTTTTTGGCGAATCGGACTTGCCGCGCCAGTGTTAAATGGTATGGTGCGTTCGAGAAAGAGGGATAGGGATTACTTTGTCCTTATGCACAAAGTCAATTACCGAAACGTGCTTCAACAGCACATTCATTAAAGTTTGGCGCTCACTTGAGCTAAGCGACTTATTTATCGTTGCCATACGCGCCCCGTCCAAGTTGTGACAACCAGTTCCGTCACGTTCTTCCGTCTGTGAGCTCGACCACTGATAATGTCGCGTGTTATTTGATGACCGAAGGTAATTTCAAACCACTGGGTAGGGTCACGGGCTTAGAGGAACAGTTTACAGTCCATAGGCCAGTTCGT